ACTCGAGACACGCTTTTTTGGGACATTTTCGACGGTTTTGGCCCCCTGCTCCCAGCATGCCGTCGTACAAAGGGGTTTGTTTTTAAGTTAGTATTAGCAAGCTAAAAGGAGCACACCGGGCAACTACATCTCATGCCGGAGGTTCAAGACAAGCTGGACTCGCTGGGACGGACCGAAAAGCTGATCGAAGGCTGTGATCCCGCTCCATTTTTTTCTGCCGCCTCCCGCCGCCGTCCCGCCCTTTTTTGAACCACACGCCGTCCCTCTCACGCGTTGCGGAGGACGGGGCCGACGAGGGCCGCGAAGGCGTTTGTGCCGCCGGCGCTGATGCGCAAGACGTCCTCCTCGGAGCGGACGTACTTGAAGGGAAGCACCGTGGAGCGGGCGCAGCTCGACGACCGTGCCGGCCGCGGCGTCGATTGTGAGCCGCGTCGTCGTGCTGCCGCGGCCGGCCTCGTTTTTGCGCGCGGTGATGGCGTGTGGGCCTGCGAGAGTTAGCCGAGACGTCGCCGAGATGTGGCCGAGATGGAGATGCGGCCGAGACATGCTGCAATCTGGGAGCTTGTCGAGGGCGAGGAGGATGACGCTGACGAGGGCGGCGACGGGGCCGACGACCAGGAGCCGGACCCCCAGCCTCGCGCCGCGCCTGTCGTGCGCGCCACTCGGGCGACGCTTCGGACCACGGGGGACGAAGCAGCAATGAACGAGAGCATGGAGCCGAAGCAAGGAGGAGGAGCACTTGGAGGGCCGCGCACTACATAAGGTTTCACTGGATGCACCTCCATAATAGCTTTCAAGGCATACAGCGGGTCTTCAGGTGCTGGCTCCTCGTCTGGATGCTTTACGACGGCTTCAGTCAGCTCTGCCGTTAGGCCTGCTGGTACTTCGGGATATTGCATACGTAGAAAGGCGGCAACTCCAGCAGCAAGTTCATCGTCACTTGGCATCTTGTTCAAGAGATGTGCCGGGTCGCGCTCCTTTAAGTGTGGCGCTGCCGCACAGCACACGTCGCCGTCGTAGCCCGCCCCATTCTCGAAGCACGAGCGCTGGCAGAACTTCTGCTTCGCCCAGTTGGCATTCTGCTTGCAGAACTTCGTGTACGCAGAGGGATACTCGTCGCACACCAAGCCGTTCGTCACCATGTACGTGTTTGGCTCATCCGTGCACTCGGTGCACTCGGCCGTGGTTGGGGCGCAGCACACGTCGCCGTCGTAGCCCGCCCCATTCTCAAAGCACGAGCGCTGGCAGAACTTCTGCTTCGCCCAGTTGGCGTTCTGCTTGCAGAACTTCGTGTACGCAGAGGGATACTCGTCGCACACCAAGCCGTTCGTCACCATGTACGTGTTTGGCTCATCCGTGCACTCTGTGCACGTGGCCGTGGTTGGGGCGGTCGGCGCTGCCGCACAGCACACGTCGCCGTCGTAGCCCGCCCCATTCTCAAAGCACGAGCGCTGGCAGAACTTCTGCTTCGCCCAGTTGGCGTTCTGCTTGCAGAACTTCGTGTACGCAGAGGGATACTCGTCGCACACCAAGCCGTTTGTCACCATGTACGTGTTTGGCTCATCCGTGCACTCTGTGCATGTGGCCGTGGTTGGGGCGGTCGGCGCTGCCGCGCAGCACACGTCGCCGTCGTAGCCCGCCCCATTCTCAAAGCACGAGCGCTGGCAGAACTTCTGCTTCGCCCAGTTGGCGTTCTGCTTGCAGAACTTCGTGTACGCAGAGGGATACTCCTCGCACACCAAGCCGTTTGTCACCATGTACGTGTTTGGCTCATCCGTGCACTCTGTGCACGTGGCCGTGGTTGGGGCGGTCGGCGCTGCCGCACAGCACACGTCGCCGTCGTAGCCCGCCCCATTCTCAAAGCACGAGCGCTGGCAGAACTTCTGCTTCGCCCAGTTGGCGTTCTGCTTGCAGAACTTCGTGTACGCAGAGGGATACTCGTCGCACACCAAGCCGTTCGTCACCATGTACGTGTTTGGCTCATCCGTGCACTCTGTGCACGTGGCCGTGGTTGGGGCGGTCGGCGCTGCCGCACAGCACACGTCGCCGTCGTAGCCCGCCCCATTCTCAAAGCACGAGCGCTGGCAGAACTTCTGCTTCGCCCAGTTGGCGTTCTGCTTGCAGAACTTCGTGTACGCAGAGGGATACTCGTCGCACACCAAGCCGTTCGTCACCATGTACGTGTTTGGCTCATCCGTGCACTCTGTGCACGTGGCCGTGGTTGGGGCGGGCGGCGCTACCGCACAGCACACGTCGCCGTCGTAGCCCGCCCCATTCTCAAAGCACGAGCGCTGGCAGAACTTCTGCTTCGCCCAGTTGGCGTTCTGCTTGCAGAACTTCGTGTACGCAGAGGGATACTCGTCGCACACCAAGCCGTTCGTCACCATGTACGTGTTTGGCTCATCCGTGCACTCGGTGCAGGTCTGTGCGGCAAGTCCGACCTCGAGGAGTGCGCCCAGCAGGATGAGGATCATGTCGCCGAACACGGGGTCTCGAGTACGTACCGGTCTCTCTCTCTCCACCAGTCCGGGGCTTTCGGCGCCAAACCTGCACGCGTTATACGGTTCTGCGTGGATACGTGGTGAGCCGTGTGCGGGGTAACCCGCGCACGGGGAAGCTTCACGGGTTCGAGTCGTCAAACATTAAGCAGCGGAGGTGTGCCGAGGGGGACCGGGAGGCGGTAAGCCGTCGTTGCCCGGCGCTGCTTGCAGCACCATGGCGATGACGCTAAGAGGTTCCTCTTTTCCGCGCCCCCCCCGCAAGGCGCGCGATACACACGGTTCTCGAGGTTCTCGAGGTGGATATCCTTTGGCCGCGTTGGGTAGCGAGGATTGGTGTGACGCGATCCACGCAGGCGTGTTTTCTGGCGGCCGACCGTCAGTGCACGGAGTTGCCCCTTCTCCGACTGCCCCGGCTAGTTCCCGAGGTCGTCGGGTGTGACCCCTGCGTCCCCCGAGACCTAGCGCAGGTGGGTTGGAGGGGGGCTCGCTGCAAGGAAGGGCTGTGTAAGAAGCCGATCCCCGTAGTCCGCCCCGCTCCTCCCCATCGGGCCGCATGCGCGGCCACGCCTCGCAGATTCGTTTTTCGCGCCTGGGTCAGGCGCGCGGGGCATCCCCCGGGTCGCTCGACCAGCGATCCGAAGAGTGGCCGCTATTCGAAGGGAAGAGTGGGGCCCTCGACGCCTCAGTCCGTTATACGCAAACCTTGGTGGCAAGTGTGCGTTTCGGCCTCCCCTCATAAGCCGGCCAAATTGTGCTCTTAACGGCGCGAATGCCCACGTCAGGCTAAGGGCGTTGCGCTGCGCGTGCGCCTTTTTGCAGAAGCAGAAAGAAGCTGAGCAGCGCACGGGCGGGCGGCGGCGCGCGGGCGGCGGTGGCAGCGCGGCGCTGCTCCTCCGTTGCTGCTGCTGCTGCTGCTGCTGCTGCTGCTACACACACACACACGTATTCCGTAGTATTGGTCACGACACCCCACGCCACCACACGGGCGACGCGAGGCGGCGGCGCGGCGCGGCGGCGGGCGACGACCGACCAACACCCCGACCGGCGACGACGGAATCCACTCCGTGCCGGCGGCCCCGTCGGCGGCGGCGCCGATCGGATCGCGTCGCGCCGGCGGAGGTGGTGACTGAGCGGGCAATGGCTCGGCTGGCCGGCGCGGGGTCGCGCCAGCGGGGAACAGGTAAGTACGGCGGCATCGACGATGAACGGTCACGAAACCCACCCCACCACACTGAAAGACCACCGGTCAGTTGACGACACACTCCCAGACGCCCGCCGATGAAGCCGGGAGGATGTATGGAGGAATGGTGTCTGTGGGAGGGCGTGCACCGAGGACTCCTCCGCGCCCTTCTCCTTTCCAGTCTTCTCGTCCTCGTCCTCGTCAATCTCCGCCTTGACGTTCGTCTCGACGTCCTCGAGCAGATCGTACTTGTTGGAGACCTTCGTGGACCTGACCTCGCCCTTGCGCTCCGTCTTGTTGCGCGAGTTCGAGACGATCCAGTCGGGCTGGCCCTACGCATCGAACGCGCGATGGGGTCTGCGATCACCCCCCATGGGTGCCCTTTCTAGTCATTCTAGTGAATGAATTGACTCGTCCCAGTGGATGTGTCCGATTTCCGACGTCCCTGTCAAAATGTGCGTGACGTCCGATCCTTTGTAATCGTCTAGAGACGCTGGACACATGAGCACGGAGCAGGCCGCTCCCGGCCCCACGCTGCGCCCACGGCCCGCGCGGCCGGCGCAGCCGCCCGGGAGCTCAGGCGCTACCGCTCCGCCTGCGCATGGTAGCGGCCTACGGTCCGCATCCTGCCGTCCGGATAACCGAGCCCAACAACCGGCGCCGGACAACCGAGCCCAACACCCTCCGCCCAGCCCGGCCCAGGGGTCGCCGTCCGAGGCACCAGCCGCGACACCATCCGCCGGTGCCGCCGAGGCCGGTGCACTCAGCCCCAGCGGGCAGGCGCTTGCCGCCGCAGAGCTGGCGTCGCACCAGAGGCAGTGCGCGAGCGTGCAGCCTTTGCCTTTCGTGCAGGTGCAGAACCCTGGAGTGCAGCCGCAAATGTACCTGCCGCCCTCGTCTGGCCTCGCCGACCAGTGGGCCTGCTGCGCGTCGATGGCCATGCCTTCGCAAGCCTCCGGTTTCGGCCGGCCTGCCGCGCCTACTCTCATGGACCCCGCTTGGGTGCAGAGCCCGCATGGCTGCTGCGCGCCCGCCTTCCACGGCTGGGGGATGGGGCAGGTGCAGCCCTCTTGCGGCTCCTACCTCCACACTGGCGCGCAGCAGCTCTACCCCTGCGGCGGCGAAGCGTGGTCGCCCTTTACGCAGCAGCACCAGGTGCAGATGCAGATGCAGCAGCAGCAGGTGATGCAGCAGCAGCAGCAGCACGCCGTCTTTCAACCCGGGTTCCCTGCGCCTGGCGCCTCGGCTGCCGCCATTGGCGCTGACCAGGCCGCCTCCGCCGCCCGAGGGCAAGCCGGAGTCGGTGAGCGCGACCCTCAGGTCGAGGGCCTCGCCTCTCTCCTCGCCCAGGCCGTGCGGCAGAGTGCCGGTGGCGCCAAGGCCAAGGTCAAGGACGTCAGCCCCGCCGAAGCTAGCGCCGTCGCCACCACGCTCGACCCCGCCGACGTCGCCCCTTTCATCGCGCGCTTCAAGAACCTGTGCATCCGGAAGGACCCGCGCTTCGTCAGGCTGTTCGCCCTCAGCGCCGCCCAGCTGGCGAGCACCATCGTTGCAGGCGACAACGAGCTCGCCTACCTCGACGCCTACGTCGCCGGGGCTGTTTAGTGCTGCCTCAAGCCCGACTCTGACGCTGTCAAGCTCTTTAGAAAGCGCAACGACGGCGGACGTCAAGGCAGCGGCCTGGTTCCGCGGTTTTGCCATTAACATTGAAATCCGGTACAAAACGACTTAGCCGAAACAACTGACAGACAGACAGAGAGCACACACGTTCGAGACGGGGGTGCGCCGACCGCCGTCGCGGACCCAGTAGAGCTAGATGGTCCCACATGATGCGCCCTTATGAGGTCTTGCAACCCCAGCTGTGACAGCTTTGGACAGCTCGCGTAACCCTAGGAACAGCGGGCCGGCTAGGGTTGAGGCCACACAGCCCGGGACATGACGAGGGTGGTGGAGGTCCGAAATCACGCCGCTATGCCTCGGCTCCAGCGAGGTCTCTCAGGCCCTACCTAGCTCAGGTATATGCAGCAGGCCGGAAGCAGGGAACACTCACCCCCCAGCACCAGTCTTCTAGGTGGAGGCGGGCCCGCTGGTATCGTCGGGAAGGTCGAGGAGGGTGGGTGGATGAGCGAGAACTGGTTACATGCGAGGTGTATCCATTAGCAGAGGGGATTGATTGAGGTGTAATCTCGGATCGAGGCGGGCTGAGCAATGATCGCACCTGTGCCAGCTTCGAAGCCGCCGACCAAGGCTTATCTCGCCGTCGAAAAGACGCGGTCCGCTTCGACATCGCAGCACCCATCGCTCAAGCACTACCCGGAGCACGAGTCCTGCTGCGCTTCGAGTTGCCCGTGCTGCGACGACTGCTGCTGCGCCAAGCCATGCTGTGCGCTCTTAGATTGGAGAATACACACTCTTCCCATTGGCACCGCGTCTCGACTTACTGACGCCCGCTCCACTCCCATATTGCTGAGCCAAATTCGAATGTGTGCAGGCAACTGGACCTGCGACTGCGGCGCTTGCTGCAAAGGGAGCTGGCGGATCGGGATGTGCGCTTGCTGGGCCGCCTGCTTTCCGTGCTGCCAGCCTGACGAAGAGTATCTCGAAGTCGCCAAGTGCTCGTCGGCGTGCTGTAGGGGCCCTAGATGCGTGGAATGTATATCCTCGCCTCCCTACTGGTCCTCTGAACACACCGCACGAGATCCAGTACGCGATGCTCTGAATACCAAGTGCGGTCACAGGCATGTCCGAGATTTCGTGGACCACACCGCACTTCCACGCTCGGCTCGCTGCCTGAAAACACCAGGCTGTGCCCTCTCGCCGTGCCTCGTTTTCCACACCTACGGCCAAGCGCTCACCGCGGCGGGGATCGCCGACGGAAAGCAACAAGGGCGGATGATCTGCTGCACCGGCATTCTCGCAAACTTCTTCTACGAGCGTGCCGGAGAATCTGGCGAGCTCGCCGATATGCTCATGGCATGCGCGGCGTGCTTCTTGGCGTGCACCCCCCCACACACACCCAACCCCGCACCACCGCCGCCCGCCCTCCCCTCCCAAACACAGCTGCCGGCTCCAACCGCCGGCCTCCCCTCACCCCCTCTTTCCGCCAAGCCCCCCGCTGCCCAGCCCTCCGCCGCCGCCCAGGCGTGCACCGTCGTGAAGGACAGTCGGCAGGAGTTGATGCAAAAGGAACCCGTGGCTTCGAAGATCAACAACGAGGCAGTGGACCGAGATTGCCCGAGATTGCCAAGCGATTTCCCCCTGCCGCAAGATGTGAAATGAGGAAGTTGGCCCACGCCCCGGGAGCTGGCGTTGATGCTCACCCCGTCTCCTTCCCTGCCCCCCGTTTTTTCAGCCGTTCTGCAACTACTGCTGGGCGTCGGTCCCGGGCTTTCCCTGCTGCTTCTGCGGCATGTGCCAGGTGCGTCAGCACCTCTCTTATGCACGCCCAGGGCGAGGATGACGGGGCGCCACACGCCCACGCTGCGCACGGTAGCCACCACGAGGACACCGGCCGCGTCGTTGTGTTCGGGCTGCTTGGGGCATGCGAAGGCAAGCAGCTGACCGTGTCACCTTGATCCCTGGACCCTGCAGGGCGTGATGTCGGTGGTCCTCTACTCCAGGAGCAAGGGCTGCAAGCGCGAGGACGGGCAAAGCGGCGCGCTCGACTACAGCTGCTGCGGCGGCCTGAAGTACGCCGTCGACGGAGAGCCCTACGACTACAAGCCGTTGATCAAGCCGTGACGATGGCATAGAGAATGAGCCTCTACTAGAGCCGGTATCGCGTTGCCGCCCG